AAAGATTAACAAAGACCAAAGCCACTTACAAAATTCTAGTATAAATTTAGCATGGCTTTTTCTAAATAAAAAAGAATTTATGACCACATGAACCTATGGTATTTTTTATAATATTACTCTAAGACCTTAATATAGTAGCTACACCTCCATTCTTGAACTTCAAGGAGTTCAAACTAATATTCACAATCTTATTTGATTGAAGGATTAAATACCAAACCTAAGATTGATGGCTGTAAATTAAACCATATAAAAATAAATTGACTAAACTAAATTTAGTATTGTATTTAAAACTCGTTATCTAATAAAAAGTGATTACTTACACTGCTTAATTTATAAGTTATAATACTTAAAAAGATTAGAAGTATAAAAATTTAGTTTGAAATTAAATTACTTTTAAATTACTTCTAATTTACTTCTAACTTGTTTATGACATCATTTCTATTATGATTTAATTAAATAACTAATTTATACTTTAATTACTATTAAAATATATATTTCTTTGACTAAGTACAATATAAAAAATGGAGTAACCATCAGTTTATCTAATAAGTAAAAACAACTTTATTGAAGAATATAAATGATTTATATTTTCTATCAAATAATTTTTGTACAAAATATTTATAAGCAAGAATATCTTTCTAATTTCTACATTTTTTTATCATAAGATTAGATGTATTTAGAAATAATGTCAATATCAATGACTTTTATACAATCATAGTCTTGCAACATTGCATTCTCTCTATGCATGAATCATAATATATAATTCTTTGCATTTTTTTCCTCAATTTAAATGTTGTCCATAATTATTTTTTATCTAAAAAAAAATTCCAATATTTTTACATATTCTAGCACCAAAAATATTTATTGTGTAATTTTTTATTTTTTAATAGGTGCTACTTCCATAGATGTGGTATGTTGCAGTTTCTTAAATTGATTTAGAAATTTATTAATTTCATCCATTGTGCATCTCTCTTGTTTAAAAGCAACTTCTGGTTTTTGAATTTTAATTTTCACAATTAAATAATTCTCTTGCTCAAGTAATGCCTAATTAAATACTTTTTAGATGAATATTAATTTTTTATCTTCATTAGAATTCTATATTGATTCAAATTAATATTAATCTAAAAAGTAAAATATTTTAAAAGCTACCTCTTCTTGGTAGTAGTCGACTTTTTCTTCATATCTAATGCAATCACACAGCTTTTGTGACCTTGTAAAATGTATTCATATACATGGTTGGCTTTTAGAATACACATATTCTACTTGGTGTTTTTTTTCTTTTTTTCTTTTTTTTTCTTTTTTTGTAAAATTAGCCTATGTCACTTTCCATAGTCACTTGCCTCGTTCATTGAAAACTTTGTTACTGATTTTGCTTAAGGTTAGAAAAGCTCCAATTATTTCTATGATGTCTATCTTTTCTCTACAATAGCATCTTTTTTTGCAACAATCTTATATTTGTACCACCTTCAAATGAATAATAGCTATTGTCAACATTCACATTAATTAATAAGTACATTTATTCAATTAGTTATGTTCTACTATCTTTAAATCTTTATTGTTGCTCCATCTCCAAAAATATAACTCCAAGACTCTCTTTCTCTACTACATCTATCAACTATGTCTTATTATGACTTTTTCTTTTGTTTTCAATTGAATTTTATTTCTTTCTTCTATTGGATATGACATGTCAACTTTTCCAATGTTGGCATTTAATCATTCTATTTGGAAACAAAAATTTACCATCTTATGCAAGTTTATATTAATATCTTCTCTGTTGCCTTTAAATAACTTTATTGATTGTTGTGTAGTCTTACTTTCTGGTTAAATAGTTCCCTTCTTGTAAATATGTTCATTTTTATTTCATGTTTTTATTTTTCTACTTTTTGTTTAATTTAATTTTTGTGCATCTACTTAGAAGAAAATCTTCTAATTCCAAACAAGAAAAAATTAACAATTTAAAAAAATAAAAAATAAGAAAAAATCATAATACAAAAAAAAGCATGATCACTGTCAAATAATTAACAACTTAGAACTGTCTTCCTTCATTAAATACCTTAATTAAACATCATAATGCCAACAAAAGCATGGTCATCTATAACAGGGCACCAATTCTAAGCTGTTGGTTAGAAAATATTTTATCTCTACATCTTTCAAACAAAGTCCTATACAATATAAAGAATTAGATCCGTAGTTGGCTCAATATATTGCTGATATATCCATAAATGATTAAGAAAACAGAAAAAAATTGAGAAAATGAATATAAATTAAATGCAAAAAGAAATCTCTTAAGGTCGTCCACTTCTTTGTATACTTTTAAAGCACAATAGCACTATGTCCTTTTTATATAAAAAATCTATTTATACGTAAAATCAATAAATTAAGATGTCTCTTTTCTTTTATAGAGCAGAATTCTCTAAATTCTTTGTATATTTTCTATTAATTATTAATTTAGTAAACTTTTACAATTTAAGTAGCTAACTATATCCATCATTTTTTAACTCATTTTTTTAAATAGCAAATAAGTGTATTTTCCATCCATCTTTGCATAGATTTATTGATGAAAATGGATAGAAGTTTCTATGATATATGAAAAAAAAATACAAAACGAAACAAAATTCCAAAAATCTAATTAATACTATTGAATGGACTGTTTCTTTGAATAAATTGACAAATTTACAATGTGTTGTCTTTTTATTAATAATATCTTAAGCTTTACTTGGGTCTGTTTTTTGAAAGCCTAATTAGACATATTTAAAGTCTTCTAATTATTTAAGCTAATAATGGAGAATTAATTTGGTAACAACTTTTTGTTTCTATGTTTTGATTGTAGATACAAATTTATTTTGAGCTATTATAATTGTTTTATATATAAACCAAATATATTATATCAAATAAGAAAATATAAATCAAATATATTATACGAACGAATCAAAATATTAGAAGTGTAATAGTATAATATTTTATAATATGTTATGTATATATATATATATATATATATATATATATATATATATATATATATATGAAAGGCTATTTAAGATAGAAAATCGATTTTTCTTTAAAATGTGGTGAAAAAATTTAATTAGATGTAAGCCATGATATTTGAACTTAAAATTTTATATGAACAATAAATATGGAAGTTATTTAACTTACTACTTAATAAAAAGATTATTTGGTGCACATATTGAAAGGTGTTATTATAACTTAAATAAATAGAAGAAAATAGAAGTAGGAAAAGAAATATTAGGTAAATAATATTTTCTTCAAGAAACATCAAAAAAATAAACTATACATTAATTGAATCTTTAAATTCTATTAAAAATCCTCTGCAGCTATTATAACTTATACTACAAGAATTTTATTTTTAAATAACAACTATAAAAGGATTATACAATTTAGTCACTTGGACTAAAAACTATGTGGTATTTAAGAAGCTTTTACAAGGCCTTTTTATAACTAGTATATATAAAGCTATTTACAATCTTGTTGATGTCTTTCTTAAGTTCAAAACTTGATTAAAGATTTTATATTTGCTTTGTATTTTAAAATAGCCATTTATAAACCTTACTTATATATCTTAATTGGTGGATATATATATATATATATATATATATATGTAAAATAAAAATATTAAGTAATAGAATTTGTCTGGTATTGTAAATATTGATTAGGATTTAGAAGAATTACTAAGCATCAAGAATTTTATAAGATAAAAACCTATAAAGCTAAAATTTTAGTAAGTCTTAAAATAAATAATTCTAATTAATTTATTATTTTTAAATTTTTCTTTTTTATGATGATTCTTCTTTAGTTCTTGAGATTAATATCTAAAATAGTCTCTCTCTCTCTCTCTCTCTCTCTCTCTCTCTCTATATATATATATATATATATATAATAATTATAAAAAAATCATATATAATATTTAGTAGATAGAATAAGTATAAAAAATAAATTATTAGGTTTTAGTACTATTCACCAAAAGCATAGAAATTTAATTATACATTTTTTTATTCTTATATTTGACCATTTTCAAAATGCATATCTGATAATGAAATTGTGCCTTTTTTAAAATATACATTTCTACTTTTAAACTTCTTTTATTTGTTTTTTTTGCTTGATTTTTTATTTTTTATTTTTTAACCACAATATTTATTAGAAGAAATTCTTAAGTAAGGCTACCTTATAATTTAGATCAAGAAGAAAAATTTATCTTCACACGCCATACAACAAATTCTATTAGCAATGGTTATGACAAGTTTTTTTTTTTTTTTTTTTTTTTTTGTTCTTCTTTTCTTGTATTTGATACTTTCTAACCATTATTTTTATTTGTACTAGATCTTTGATATTCTTTATTTACTCTTTATTTCTTTAATTTCATTGTCTTCCTGAGAAAAATTTCATTTTAGATGATTCCAAATGTTTTTTTAAAAAAATTATTTATTTATTTTAATTATTATCATTTGTGATTGTGGGCCGTTAAAACTACATATAAGATGTATCTTGCAGAAGTTTTTTTTTTTTTTTTTATATATATATATATATATATATATATATTCTTTCTTTACATAACTAATCAACTATGCATGGAGAAATGATTATTTAATTTGAGAATTTGATTTCCTCGACAAAGTATTCTAGATGTTGTTCGTCTCTTTAAGAAAACTGTTGAAATCATGTTTGTTTTATCAAGTTGTTGTTACGAGACAATGTGTTGTGTAGAATGAATGATAGTTTGTTCAAAAATTGAATTGGTCTCAAGTGAAGTTTAGAACCAATACTGGTATAGTGAATGAGAAATGGGATACTGAGAGTAAGGGGAGAATAGAAGTGGGGATGGAGGCTTCATCCTCGTGATCATCCTCATCCTGGGCTCATCCATGTGATGCTCATCCTGGTCGTGGTGCTGCTGCATCTGCTGCTACACTGGTGGTCGTGCCATCCCCATCAGCATCCCCATCGCAATCGGGACTAGAGGCACGGATCCCACATCCTGCTCCTCGCATCACCACGCAGCCACGCCTCTCCCTCCCTCCCTCTCTCCTCTCTCTCGCTATTGCTGCTGCTTTGTCCTTCCTCCTCTTACTCCTCTGGAGGCTCCTTTCCTCCGTCCTCCTTCCTTCCTTCCTTGTCAATCCGCGACATGTCGGGGTTTGAGCCATCCGCTCATGCCTGACTCCTTCCCTCCCTCCCTCCCTCCCTCTCTGCTCCACGGAGTCTGCTTTCACTTTCGCCTTTTTGGATCTCTTCATTCTGTTCTCTCTTACTTACTTTCTCTCTAGCCCAACTGGATGCCCCCCCAGGTTCAACTCCATTGCGCCTTGTTTACTTACTTGTCTTGTTTGATTGAGAGCTTACTTGCATAATCTCTCGGTTCCATGCCCGTGCTTGCATTGACGGAGTGGGGTTTCTGGTGGTTTCAGCCTTTAAAGATCCGGAGTCAATTGTAGTGTCGGAATTTTTGTGAGTAGATTCGTTCAAAGGGCGTTGCCGAGGGGCCTATTTCTTCCTCAGGAAGATCAAGGCTTCCTTATTGTCCAGTTGGCCTTGTTCTGTACTTTTCTGCTGGAGGTCAAGCCGTCCTCACGGTGAGCTTTTTAAGAATGAGTTTCTTAAATATGTGCATTCTAGATTTTCATCGGTGCTTACGAGAATTGAAGTCTGGATTTCATAATTTTCGTGAGAAATTCTCCTGTTCGCTTAGTTTAGGGTTCATTAAATTGATTGCGTGCGCGGTATTCGACATTTTCTTCTCACTCCGAGCTGGGCTGTATGTAGGACATCAGGACTACAGGATCATCCACGGAGCCTCGATTTATGAAGCTGAATGCAGATGATGGAAATCTGTGCTGGGTATGCAAGTGCCAGTAGTTTTGGTCGGAGAACCTAGGTTTGCTGAAACGATGGATTAATATTGTCAGGTACGTGGTTTGTATCTTTCCCATTTCATTTCAGTGAGGTTCTATTTTTATTTTTATGTGCATCAGGTTTACCGATACTTTTGTAATTTTTAGCTTGAGTTTAGATGCTTGAAAAGATTTCTGGATTCTTGCCGTGCGATTTAGTCGCATAGCTGAAAACCGCAATAGAGGAGAGATTTGGGTCGTGGCAGTAATAATCAAGGGTTTATCGACTTGCTGGAATGTCTTGGGGGAGCAGGTAACTGTAGGGTAGTGAAATTAATGTCCAATATATCTGTAAGATGGAGCTACGTCTCATTCACTTAGTTTCGGAGTGCAGACCTTGCATTTGCTATGCAAGAGCAGCGCGATTTGCAGGAGTAAGAAGATGTGTATGGTGAGAAGGTTTGCCCGACAACGTGTTGAGCATGCGATTGCCTGAGGTTTGGGATACCAATGCTTCATGGATTCTTCCTTGGACTGTCGTTTCGCGCAGCCTTTGGTAGGCATCCACTGCTGCAAAATGGATAAACCCTTTGAATTGTGGCTTTTTGGGACGTTTCTTTTCAATCAATACTATAAAAAATGCCAACAGATAAGCTTGATTCTTTCTATCCGTTGCTTAGATATTATATCTGCCAAGTCATTTTTACAGAACGGAACATTATATTAGCAGCCATATTGTTACATTAGTTCTCTGGTTTCCTCTGTTCTCCTTCTGAATCGTGATTCCGTTTCGCGAGAAATGCACGTTTCGATCATGTGATGCTGTGGACCATGTGAACTACTGATTTTGATGGGCTTTGTGGCATCGTTGCCGTCTCGACAATCTTATCTAGTCGCAGGTAGTTAGTCTTGTGGCCGAGTTTCTTCGAAGCATGTTGTGGTGCGAGCACCGCCAATTCGTAATAGAAATAGCAGTCACCCGTGTTGGGGTAGGTTATGCTGGTCGTACTTTACAAAATTCGCGAATTGTAATATTGTAGCGGCACCCTAGCAAGGGGGTTCAGCTCTTGAAAGTACGTTCGCGAGACCTTTACATTGGTTTTAAGGGGTTCTGTGCATGCATTCCAGGAGCCTCTAGGTGTAATTTCGGCGAGATGCTTGTTAAGGCGTTTTGGCGAGGGTCATGATAAGTTCAATGTTGAAATCGAGCTGAAGGAAGCCTACGTTTTAAGTAATATACAGACCTGACTCGAAGTATTCGGAAACTATGGGGCTGCCTGGACCATGCAATGAAGTCGCAGATGATATTGGACCAGGAGAAACCTTTGCTCCAAGTTTTGGTGCTGTGATTACTCGCTACAACAGCAAAAAGTTATCTAATTCTACTCGGCAGACTCCAGAAACGGTATGTCGTGTCGTCGCAGCTACACATAGTAGAAGTGTGGCAAACGATGAAAGAACATGCAAAAGTGGATTATCAGATCATTGCGAATTTATCGGCAGGCCTGAAGAGGGTTCCGTTTCTCATTTTGCTGGCATCGGTGATATTCAAGGTGATTCTCCCTGGGAGTATCGTTTGTCTGACCCTAAGTCTATTGCAAGTGACCAAAAAGCTATTTGGAATGGCATCTCGTATCGTCGACAGGGATGTGCCTCAGTACCCCGAAATCCAACATCAATCATTGTAGGTTTTGAGGCTCAATCATCGACTGCGTCGCATATCACAACCTCAAGAAGTTTTGGTGACAACGCGGGCACTTCTCAGGTCAGTATGTAATAATATGTCGCATTCTGGTTTATGTCTACTGTCAATGAGAATATGATCAGCTTCTCAAGGGTTGACTGACAGCCGTGATGTCTCATTAAATGTTTTGGATCTTATGAGCAACATTCCTCGTCAGTATTTGCACCTTTTTTACAATTCACAGTAATTTGTATTCTGCCAGATTTCTATGCTGAGTGATTTGGAATTTTTCTTGTGTTGAGTGAGATGTTAAGATGTTTGTTAACATATCGTGATGTTAAGTCGTTAGGTTTTGAAGTTCGTGACCCATTACCATTGCTTCAAATCAATTATATGGGGTCAGAATTTTAGTGGCCCTGTCCTGAAGTGAGCTAATGGATCTCTGATTTTTGGCAGTCCGCGGCGGTGTGAAATTATGATTTCGTTGTCCAGTTTAGACTATGCTAATGCCACGGATTGGCTTCTAAACCGTTCAACCATAAAACTTGAGCTAATCGTATCGGTCTTGGATAATTTGTTGTGCAGTATGAATTGGTTGACCTACCTAAAACCAGCAGCAGTCGGCAGACAGGAGTTGGTGATATTGGATTAACCAGTGTTCGCAAGAAGACTTCTTCATCTCTCACTGATTTGCTGTCATCTGGTCATACTAGTAAGGTTTTAGATTATGGGAGTTCAGACGAACAAGGCTCCAAGGATGTGGATGATGATGAACTGACTTCTGAGGCTCATCCCTACAATGTTGGCAGTACTGGTAGCATCGTAATGGACCCGGTTCTCATCCCCCGACAAGCGGGCTGCCATTATCAACTCCGAGCCAGTGGCCAACAAACTGATGGGCCTGTATTAACTCCCCCTAAAGTTGCCGAAATAGGCTTAGCTCTTAAGCAGACAGTCTCTGAAGTGCTTCCAGAAAGGCCAAACCTGAATGCTGTCGGTGGCCACTGGTTGACTGTAAATTCGGAATCTTTTACTAATAGTATTCGATCTGCACGTCCAGGAGTTCTCCCTACTTTGTCTCTGTCACCCTTGGGACCACGCACGGCTTCTTCAGCATCAGCAGCATCCCCAGATTTGAGCAGTCTTAAAACTAATCGTTATTGTGGCAGCAGTGTTGTGAGCGGATTACAAATCCCTGCTCAGAGCCAATCGAAATGGGTTTCAGACTTTTATCGTGGTGAGTCTGCAATGGAAGAGGAAGTAGTTTCAAGTTTAATAGACGCCTCCTTTGATGATCCCAGTCATGTTAATCAATATCCATTATCTTCAAATTTTCTGACGCATCAGCGTGCGGGAAGTTGGGGATTTGAAACTTTGTCTACACCTCCGAAGAGTGTAGCTGGGTCACTTTGCATGCCCAGTAGGCGCTCTTTGGTTGGTTCTTTTGAAGAGTCTCTTCTTTCTGGACGGTTTTTGGCCGGTAAAGTGAGCCAGGTACGTCCGGACTTCTTTGGTTTTTCCTTCATCTCGTTTCTGAGTGGTTTTCAAGGGTGGTATCGCAGGAAATCGTCTTGTTTCTGGCAAGAGTAGTTCTAATCGACCAAGATGCGTAATTAATCGGTGACCTGGATGTCATTTCAACTGGTGATTGCTGGGCAGAAGCTGGACGGATTCTTGGCATTGCTTAGTGTCACAGGTGGTAGCTGGCCGGCACCTGTGAAGAAGCTGCCCTTTTCGGTCATGTGCGTAAATGGTGATAGTTCGCTCCCCTATTTTGCGTCTATAGATCTGGTTGGCAGTTCCTCGGAGGCTAAATCAAATAAGAGTCCCAGCAAAGCTCGCTTCAAAGTGCCTGTGAAAGGTCGTGTTCAATTGGTAAAGAAACTTTCTCAGCATATACATTCCTTTTGGAGGTCCAGTAATAACCTTCATGTTCAGAGTGCTTTTCTGAAAGTTTGTGATCAATCTGCTACTTTTTTTGAGTTCTATTGATCATTGAAACGTTGTATTGGCAGTTTGTATTTTCTGTAATCTAAGTATGTGAGTGTATGTCTCTCTAGGTGCTAAGTAACCCAGAGAAGACCCCTGTGCATACCTTTACATGTAGCTACGATCTGACGGATATGCCACTTGGTACAAAGGTACGTCTTTTACGATACCATGGAAATTTTTCTCATCATCTTGAAGAAATACAATTTTTGCAAAATAACAGCTAAGTAGCGGATGATGGCTGCATTTTTATGTTAGTCCGTAGGTCCAGTGTTCCCAAGTCTAATTATCATTGAGTCCTACTTATGGGTACAACATTTTCTCCGATTCAACAAGTTCTCCTTAAGTTTTCTTTGTTAAAGGATGCTTTAGAATGTGCGATTAATCTGATCACTGAGCACATTCAAAATTTTAAACTGAGGATTATATTGTACTTACTGCTAGTTGTTTTTGCTAAGAAACGTTCAGACCTAGTCTCTGATACAGTTTTTCATTTGTTTTGTTTTGTTTTGTTTTGTTTTTTTCTGTTTTGTACTGTAGACGTTCCTGCGGTATAAAGTCTCACTAGCAGTCGATGCGCAGCCCACGGCTCCTGTAAAAGAATGTGGCAGAGTTGTTCCAGATCCTCGCTCGAGTAGACTCTCTGGATCCTCCCGAGGTGGTCATTGCAGCTTTTCCAGCTTTAGTAGTTCGATGTCCTCCCGGCGGACCTCTGTAGATTTGTTCAACAGCAGATACTGGCAAGGTCGTGAATTTGGTGCACAAAGTAGCACTGAACCGGATGACGTGGATACAGATGAAACCGAGCCATTGAATCGCAAGGTTGTTGCTGGTGTTCATGGTGTAGATTACAACCACACTCAACCTAACACGTTTGAAAAGCGTGGACCTTCTGGAGTTGTAGAAGGTTCAGATCCAGTCGAGCCCCTGGCAAATGATAGTTTTCTTATGTTTCGGAGCCAAGTAGGTAAAACAATCTTTGATCAAGATCTTGCTGAAGACGACAGTCTTCAAGGTGGAAAAACACTAAACTTGAGGAGGAAAAGTCTGCCAAATCTTGATAGATACGGTAATACAAAGGGAGGTACGAAAGCTGGAGAAGGCACGGGTGGAGCTTTAAAATATGCTCTTCACTTGAGATTTATGTGTCCACGTATCAGGAATCATGAAAAGAACAAATCATCAAACACACAGTTAAGAACCACACCCCCGAAGAGTTTGAAAGCCGCGGAGGTTTCAGAAGAGAAGCGGTTCTACATTTACGGAGACATACGTGTTATCTTCCCACAAAGGCATTCCGATGCGGATGAGGGCAAGGTAAATCCTTCTTCGTTGCGATTTTGTCGAACTATTTAAAGCTCACTTACTGTGCTGCCATCGCATTTGTGTGTTACTATATTCAACCTCAGATTGGATGCTGTATGGGTAGTCGTTTTTTTCTTGTTTATTTATTTCGTCGTTTGGCCTCGGGGATGCGTGTATGTTCATAGTGGGCAAGCATTGGAACTGGACCTAGTATTGTTTGTTCACACATTTCAAATGTTGGAAATGACTATTACAATCAACATCTTGTAGTGAATCGTAGCTAAATTCTTTTGTGTACTGCTTTTTGGCTTTCAGTCGCAATTTTTGGCGGTTTTTGTTCTAAGGAAGGGGGTGGGTTTGCAGCTACATATCGAATATGATTCTCCAGAAAATCCTAAATACTTCGACTACATCAACTAGCTCTTGCTTTTTCAAGTTACAACTTAAATACTGTGAACTTCCTTCTCTACAAGTTTTCAGATATAATTCTCGTTGGCTGGTATCTAATGATTCCTTCTGGAGGATTATCAGGCATACTGCCTTAAACTGGAGGAGCATCCGACAAACATGAGTTCTCAGCAATTTAAAGTGTTTATTGCTATCCATTTGCCACTTTTCACTACCTTTCTGCAACGGGAGGTCCTTGTGAAGCTGAAGTATTCGTTCAATGAATTGTGGTGGATGGTATTCTGGTGTTATAAGTTAGTAATGAGAAAGCTATTTGTGGTTTATTTGGCTGTAATGTCTCTTTGCTGTAGGGTTCTCTAACTACGTCTATGGCCACAGTTGATACTTCTTGATTGTATAGATAAACAGCCGCTGGCTGTTTGTTTCCAGATATAGTAGGTTGTGTCTGTTGCTGGTGTTGCTAAGCCCTTACATGAATGCTCCTCGTCGAAGGCCTTTCATTTTTTTTTATGACTCAGTGTCTATTAACCTTTTTTTTACTTTTTATGAGACCGCTGTGTTTTGAGGAAGGAATCCATTTCCTTTGTACCATGTTTCACCCACTGTAAGGGCCAAGATTATAGGTCAAGGTTACATGTATCATAATGTTTTTGCAGCTTCAAAGAATTGTTATAGGGGAGTTTTGAGATTTATCATAGGGAAGTTGCCGATTCATAGGGCCGAACTGCCGTACGGTGCAGCAGATTTTGAATAAACGGTGGACAACTTGCAAGTATTGAAGTTGCTTATTGCCAATTGTAACCTGCGCAAATTTTGTGAAAAGTGCATGAAAATTTTGAATGATCTTCTGTATATTAAAATACAAGACCTGCAACCAGCTCAGTACATCAGAAGACGCATCCAATTTCAGAAGATTCATGGGGTTTCCAAACGCTGCAGAAAAGTTTTTGAAAGAGAAATCCTCATCCAGAAACCAAGCGTTAATGAAAATCTGGAGCTGTAACCAAAGTTCTGTTAATACTTGATAAACCGAAAGGCATGAGGTATATTGAAAATTATTTATAACAATGTCAAGTTGTGGCAATCCCAAATTGCAATTTTATTTTAATTTTTAAAATAATCATCTAAACTATTTCTAGTAATATTAATTTTTCATTAATTAAACGAAAAAATATATAAAGTAAAATAATATAAAAAATTAATTTCCCCTCTAATAAACTTTCCTTATTATAATTTCAAATTACACAATGAGAATTAGTATTATTTAAGTAAAATACCATTAAAAAAATAATTATAAATAACAAAATTTTAGCAATTAATTTAAAATATCAAATAATTTTCTAAAGTCAAAATTCATATAATTCTTAAACATTCATCTTATGAATTACACATAATTTAAAATCATTTTTTATCATTTAAGGATTTTAGTACTTCACAAAAATAATGAAAATATATAATTGTGCTATTTTTATTCCAATCAATTTAATAAAAATAAATGTTTGTGCACATAAATAAACAATAAATAAATCACATAGGCTTTTTTTCATTATAAATTATTGATCATTAAAAGCATAAATCGGATACACTTGAGATAAGCATATTATATATGTGTGTGTGTGTGTGAATTTTTATCTCTCATTAGATTTTTAAAATTTTACAATCCATATATATAATTATATCTACATATCAAGAGTATAATAAAAGTAGAATGCTGATTTTTATGAAAACCTTTGATATATTTATACACTACAATAAGTAATTATATAAATTTTAAAAATTCTTGATTTGATTTTGTACTCAAACCAGGTTTAATGTTTTAAAGATAAGTATTCCTATGAAAACATTCAATTAAAAGCAAATCTACTGTTGCATTTATTTAAAATGTATAAACTACTGCAAAATATCATTGAGTATGCAATATTCTACAAACTTTGGCAATAAATTTGATGTTCATAATGAATGTATTAATATTAAAGTTAAATTTGAAAGTACTTCATATTTGTGCAATATTTGTTGTACGGATCCAAAATCACCAAATTAATAATATTCTTTGTCAACAATACTTAAATAATAAGAACCATGTTTTCAAACAATTTGTATACTTCATATAAAAGAAATAAATTTAGGATAAAGCAAATAGAAGTTAGAAAAAACAAAGACTAAAATTAAGTAAAGAGCCCTTTTAAAAATAAAATACTTGAAACAAATTCACATGCAAATAATTATTTGGGAGAAAGATACTACCATAAAATAGACTGTAGTTTTTAAATAAAATTGTCAACATACATATTGAACAAAATCAGTTATAAATCATTGTTCTTTCTGCTTGAAAAAAATAATAAACTTGAACAATAAAACTTCTTCATTTTTTACTTTATTATTATTGAAAGTTTAAAAAATTCATAGGAAAGAACATTCTGTGCCTACTCTTAACTTCTTGCAACACAAAATCAAGGTTGGTTCTTCCGTATACTCCACCAAACGACAAGAGAACAAAAACTTTTGATTGGCACCTGATTGTAATAGAACACGTAATACCATACCAGAACTATACATCATAAAATTTTCATACAATAAGTCTCACTTTTTCTTCCAACTTTTTACAAACGATTATCAACCATCTGCAACTTACGTGAAATTGATTCCACAATTTCTTTTTGTACATTCTTACAACATCCATGTCCAGCTTCTCTTAAAGCTTTTCCAATTCAAAATAGTTGACAGGCGAGAACCCTAAGTAAATCACACCTGTTCTAGCAGAAGTGCAATATCTACAACATCCCACGCGTCCATATAGATTGCCAGTTCTAGAACACCTTCAACGCACCTTCACATTGGCCCCAGTACTTTCAAATTTGGTTGCAAAATAGGTAACTACAACTTAAGAAGAAAAACAATCTCTCTCTTTCCCCACACAAGATACAACTTCGCTTTTTCCATCACTTACACCAGAAAGCCCAAAGTAGGGTAGATTGTCACACATCGCTATGATCCCAATTAAGCATCTACTACTTTTCATCAGATCAGCAAACTACCAATCATAGAAACTAGGTGATGAATATTACGATACTTTCAGGTTCAATGCGAAATCCAAGGTTAACAGTAATGAATGTATTCAAGCTCTGTACATGCATTAATTTTATGCTACCAGTAGAAAACTTCATTTGACGATGCAGCGGTATATCCTTGCTCCTCATCCAAGTTAATGCTGGAGCAGAATTATTTATTCTTAACTACAGATGGCGTCAATGTCTTAACTTCGTCCTTATCAACTGCCGTTGTCCATATGATATCTTTCAACCGGGTACAAAAGCTTTTATAGAACTGCAAACATACCAAACAAAGGTTCTAAATGTCAGCCGTAATAATGATGATAAGTACATACACACATAAGCCTTGCAAAAAAAATGTGAACAAGTGATATTATAGAATCAGAATCATAAACACTTACCTTGTGATATTCCAAAGTATCACCCGCAGCCTTCCGCACTTCAATCATGAATAAAGAAGGAGCCACCTCGTACACCTGCAAATGCCGTACAAGTATTGATATTTCAGAAACTTCCCTATATCTTATCATTTGATACGGTATATTTGAGCAAGAACGCTGTCCAGATACTCACTTCGATAGCCACAGCCAAGTGCTGTGATATTCTGCACTCACTAGCTGCCTCGAGTCTCATCTGTCACATTGAATTCCCAAGTCTGAAACCATTAGTTTTTCCACGGCGAAGACGCAGCCTTTCTCATTTCCAGGGTTAGTTGAAACCAATCAAGTGGGTTCATTACTTAACAAAAATATAATATCTTTCTCAAGCAACCCTACTTCGAATAATCTGCTCCTGGCAACTACAATGATTTGCGAACACTCTTGCACTGCAATTTTAGGGTCAGTCATTATCTCGTGAACCTTGTAGTTACGCGTTCCAACACCAAAGCCCATCGACTTCGCAGCGGTTTCCATTCTATTAATTATATCTCGAGCTGGTTTCTTTGAAGTGAAACGAGTTTGGCGCTTTACATGGTCCTGCAGGAGGCAGCAACTCGCGTTACTTGAAGTCAAGCCAGCACTGATCTGCCTAATTTACTTCAGTTTCCGTTAACGTAATAATGACTTTCCAGCAAATCAATTCTTCATGTAGAAACAGTATACCTGACGTCTATCAAACAACGCAGAGAGGTTTAGTCCTTGAGATAGGCTTATGAGTTCAAAGGCATTCATCAACGACGGACCCACGTCTTTCACCTCCCTCTGCTCTTTCACAAATTGTTCCTGCACAAGCCATTTAAGACTGCCTTTAACGGTAGCACTTTGTACGAAGTAATTGGCTACCAGCATCCTCACACTCAGCGAAACATATGCATCAATTCCAACTCCGGGTATGAAGTCAAACGTAGGAAACGCAATATTCCACACGAGACATATAAAGGAAAATACTGTTCCTTCAAGGATGGAACAAGGATAAGGCCACTACCACAAACATGAAGTGAAAATGAAATGACAGCAAACCTTAGAATCATCAAAAGCAGCCTCCACATCATCAAGATTAATATCTTCATCGTCATACATACGAACAGGAACATAGTTCTTTTTGAACCATTCGTCATCCCGAATTCCTTTCATCCTGATACGCTGCATCATAATTTGTCATCTCATACTTTCCTCAAAATTTGAATCAAGTTGAAAATTCATAATATGCTAATTGAGCAGCCCTCTCCAAAACTGCTATTACTGAGCTCACCCCTTCAAAGTCGCAAGCTCCTGGTAAAAAATATGAGATAACAAACATCTTCAATACTCCACAAATACTTAGAGAGAGCTGAGCTTGTGCTAGGGAGACGTACTGTTAGGGGATTGGGATCCAGAATATTAGTAATCAGTGTTTTGGCGCCGGAGGAAAACCAAGGTGGACAAGTAAAATCTGCCTCTCGTATCTGCAAGTAGAATAAACCACATCACATCCAGATGCATAGGAGTAGCTTAAGTAATAGAACTGAACTTGGGATTGTGAACACCTTGAACAATAAATTCCTTCGCTAATTAGCATCATGTGTACGTCTAGAACCAGACACATTTGAACTCCTTGAACCTGGGAGATCCTATTCTACATGATGCGCAAGTTGCTACAGCATGATGGAAGTACAACTAACCACACAGTAAAATAGCAACAACTGATGGAGGATGAGTACGTAAGCCACACCCACCTTGCTGTAAAGAGTATTCAAGTCAGCCTCATCAAATGGGAGAAATCCAGCCATTAATACAAACAAGATGACACCGCAAGACCAGATATCAGCCACTGCACCATCGTAGCCCTTATCATTAAGAACCTGCATATAATCAACCGGCACTCAGTCTCACGTATCTAAACAGTTCAGGGGTGTAATTTGGGTTCCACATCGTCAATGCTGAAAAACCTCGCGATTACTTGCAAGCCTTGAAAAACATACAAAAAAACGATCATTGAAATTAAGCTATTTTTTGGTCCGCTTCACGATTATGTGGACATATTGAGCAAGATAGAGGAGCTACCTACCTCAGGTGCAACATAATTGGGAGTACCACAAGTGGTGTGCAAAAGTCCATCTTCCTGTGAAAATCAATCAACAGACTCATATTGAGTCGCGACCTCTAGAAACTGCCATCTTGAACATCTTACACGTTTATTGAATTAAGCAAACAAGACTGAAGCTCATGCACTAGAGTTCGAGTATGTCCCACCCTCACTTGCTGAGGAAGAGCACTCAGACCAAAATCTGATATTTTGAGATTGTCCAGTGAATCAAGAAGGAGATTTTCAGGCTGCAAACCAACAGTGCACACCTTGTGGAAAAAGTCTCAGAGGTAACGCAACGTGGCATCATATTTTTCACCATTTGTGCATAAGAACTAAACTGAAAATTGCTACCATTCACAACACGAGTACAGATCAAACCAAGCCTCTTTCGTACCCACACTTTAACTTCATACAAACAGCGCATGCAATTAGAGTACATAACCAAAAATCGATCACCTTCAAATCTCGATGTGAGACGCCCTTGCTGTGGCAATAATCAACTCCATCCATGAGCTGCTGAAAATATTTGCGAGAGTCGTTCTCATTAAGCCTTCCTTGATGCACCTGAGAAATCCAGAATAGGACATAGAATGACCCGCTTTACACTGCAAGCTACTATGGCTACAATTGAACCGTCAAAACAGTGTGTGAAGAAAAAGCCTGCAGTACTGACATTCTCCAACGCAAGTCAAAACCTTAGGTATGGTTTCATTGCCGCACGAGACACCAATGATAATGAATACTTCCAACATACATCCATGGAAAATCTTCTGATCCCTACCTGCTGCTGAGCAAGTCAGATTTTGAATCAAACGTATTGGTTTTTGCTGCTAAATTAACAGATTTTCACTGCTGACTTTTGATGGACGACCAGGAGCCTGTAGCTAAAATACTAACGACCATTACCGACCTGCCAAAGCAATGAATCCAATTCACTCACAATTTTGTCAAAAAGCTCCCCGCCCGTTACAAACTCCAAAATGATGTAAATCTTGCAACGACTTGCCAGAACCTGCATACATTTCACTTCAGTCAAGAAAATCTAATCTATCAGTTCACTTGAACAAATCCTGTACAAAAGCTCCTTACGCTGCCACGTACCTCGTGCAATCGGACAACATTAGGATGCCTAACCAGCTTCATTATGGATATTTCTCGCTTGATCTGCTATCACAGAAAGCATGTCAAATTTCTGGAGGGATTTTTAAAAATAAGTCACATCCATGAGAGATTTTAAGCTTTATGAATGGAGTTGATTCACAGTGAAGAAATCGACCACAACATTGCCGGGAGCAAGATGAATCTACTAGATGGTACCATTGCTAATAATTGAGCCACTACACACGGAGCAAGGGAAAATCAACGGCACCATTAAGATATATACGAAAAGGATAGTTGCTACAAAAGATCTCACAGCATACCCGAAAGTTATGACTAACGAACCACTACATTGTCTTAGAACCACAACCTAGGCGGGAAAAAATATTTTAGCAGTTTCAAAAGCTTGAAAGTTACCAGACAAATTCAATCATCTGCTCTGAAAGGATCCATCCAACAACCAACACATCCAATGCAAACAAAGAATCTGCACAATTTATTCCTTAAGAGGTAAAGAAAGCGATCATTCATGCTCAGAAGTAAAACCCCTTCTCGAGGGCGGGCACTCGTCATAACAGATTAAAATTACTCCTCACCCAGATCCGAATCCCCAAAACCCACCTGCTCTACCATCTTGTGCTTGAGCACCGTCTGACGATCTAGCACTTTCATGGCCACGCTCTCCCCTGTCTCGGTGTTCTGGGCAAATTTCACCTTGGCGAAGGTTCCCTCACCAATAGTTCGCCCCACTTCATACTTGCCCACTTTCCTCATCACCATGTCTGCAAACCTCCTGATAAATTTTGCAACACTTCTGAGCTATTCCAGAAACCCCTCGTACCTCCAATCTCACGACAGAGACAGTCCTAAACGCGCACTGCAGCTTCCAAACCTTTCCCCGCAAGTATGAATCCTTAAAACCCTATTCGCGAGTTGACGAAGTGGTAGGAGAGCTTCATACAAACTGCAGTGTTGGAGGATTTACTGCAAGCATCAATCCACGGGGTACGGGTTTGGTAGCAGGTGTGGGAAGAGGAAGAGGGGGGGGAGGGGGGGGAGGGTTGGGCTACATTGTCACTGTCTCACTCTCGCACTCGTTCTCTGTGAGAGGGGGGGTATTATGAGAGTAGAGGGGGTATTTTATGAGAGTAGGGGAGTGGGGAGGGGGAGAGAAACTATCAAAACCACAATCGAGTCTTGGCTTTGTGGCTACTGGGGGTCCACTTTCGGATTCTGTCTTGGAAAGCCCCACTTGGAAATCAGGAGTCATGATCCCAAGAAAGCTTTGAGTCGATCACTAGATAGATAGATAGATAGATGCTGAACTTCTCCACCTCTTTTTAGTGTGTTTGAGGCTTAAACTGTCCGGAGCCACGAAATTCACACCCCTCTAGATAGGCTTGGAAGAAACTGTGCGATCCAACATCGTGCTTGCCATCGCCAAAATATAACTTGAGTGGCAAATTACCAAGTAAAGCGCAATTGGGCAACAAATAAATGACTCTGTTTGCAGTTACTATGAAGTCTATCATCACTGAGTTGAGTCTTCTGTAATAGACCAGTGGTAACTTTACAGCTCAATCAGCCATTTCTTTAGATTTTACAAAATATTTTTTCTTCCAATCGTAAAAAAAAAAAGTTCACTATCTGATGCTTAAGTACTGAACAGCAAATGAAGGTTGTGGTCGTTAACTCACTACTCTACGAAACCCCCTGCCTGCCTGCCTGCCTGCCTGCACCCCCCCTCCCCCCCACCCATCTGTATTTAAATTCTGAGAGGACTTGTTAAATGGGATTTGGTTGTACAAATGTAGGGTGCCAGTATATTGTGTGAGTTCGTAATATCACACGCCTTGGTCTCACAACTAATTATGTATACTAAGATTGAAATTGCATGACTTTACCAATAAAATCGAAGCGGTCAAACCCCTTGTATGACTTTGCCATTATAGAAATCTCAGTTGCAAAGTGGTGGAACGTATCTCGTGTAGATGAAGTTTACAAGTGAGATGGGTGAGTGTGATTATTTGGTAGTTGGTGATACTGTGAGCAAAAAACAAAGGAAGATTTACAAGTGAATGGAGTATGAAGGAAGGTATGGCCATGCTTGGCCTGATTATGGTGGGATTGGTGAGGAGCCCGTGTGATCATCGAGTGATGGGGGAGAGAAATGGGGCAAGGAGGGTCTTCGCTGAAAAACAGCTACGGGGGGTTCTGCTTTCGTTCTTTCTTTCAATCGTTGTATATTTTTATATTTTTTATATTTATATTTTATTTGAGGGGGTTCTAATCATTGGAATGGGGGTAAGAGGTGTTATCCACCCACTTATTCATCCACACACCCATAAGTGCATCCATCCAGGGGGGACGTACAGACAGAAGCACAGGAAAGGGGGGGGGGCCTGGTCAGGTCAGGTCTGGAGCAGTTCCTTTTTAGCCTTTTGTTATGTTTTTTTTGGTTTACTTTAAGGGGGTAGGGGATTCCTTCCTTCCTTCCTTCGTTCCTTCGGGTGCCCCCGGTTTCCCTCCCCGACTGAGTAGAGATCCCCCGCGTTCGTTCCCTCCCTCTCTCCCTTCCTGGCTCCCTCCCCTGCCCTGCCCTGCCCCCGTGTGCCTCGTCGTCCGTCTCGGTGCGGCCCCGCTTTTCCCAGTGGAGGGAGGCAGTGTTCCCTGGGAGAGTGCGAAACCTTCTTCGGTGCTTCCTGCTCCTGTCAGTCGTCGACTCCCCCGCTCTCCGTCGGCGGCAGATCGACGGTGTAATGGAGGTCTGGACAGTTTATTCTCCCACCTGTCAACGGTCCGGATGGGTCGGAGGGGGATTTGGTCTTCAACATGTCCGACGACCACTTCGTCGTCTCTCTCTCTGCTGCGAAGGCTGAGATCGTGCGCGCGAGAGTTGGTGAAGTAAATACGCGTATAGTAGTGAGTGCCACTTTTTTGTTGCTCTCTATGAGGTTGGTTGTGCCTTCCTCCCTTCCAGTTTGATGCTTCGCAGGGGTAGCTTAACATTGTCCTGCTTAGTCTGTACAAAAAATCGGGCAAATTTGGGGTTTTTAGAACTCTGGTGTACTTGGTCGGACCCGCAGGGTGTGTCTTGGCACTAGTTGGTTGCTGTAGAGTGCATGTTTTCTGAGTTGATTTTACAGTCGTGGTTCGGATTGGAGCGCGAGCATGGTGTTTGTTAGTACACAGGGGTGAGGTCTGTCTGGCTTGTGCTGGAATAGTCCATAGTGATGCGACTGACTATGTTCTTTTTCCTCACACACCCCCCCCCCCCCCCTATTTTTTTGTTTTTATCTTATTTTTCTGTCTTGAAATAGTTCGTCCTAGGAATGGGTTCGGTGTTGCCGTCAAATGTGTTGGAGTCTTGTCTCTTCTTGGAAAATAATCTACTTGCTCCTTGAAATTGTCGAGCTCGCTTGAAATGATAGTTGGTTTGTTTGCTTTTGCGTTTGCGTTGTATTAGAGTTCAGAAGGTTGTTCTTGTATAAGTACAGAGAGCAAGATAGTAAGTTGGGATGAGAGTAGAGCTGTTAGAACTATTTAGAGCACCTTTTTCGTGTGTTACGGATTATTATCGCGTTCTACCGACATTCAGTTAGGATTTCTTCAGTCGTTCGTTTAGCACGAACCTCATGTGGTTTTGTGCCATTTCGCCGTCTCTCTGATAGTACGTGAAACTTGTGTGCGGTGACAGGTTGACAAGTGAGAGTGTGGCTGCACATGCCCCGACTATCTGTCAACTGTGCTCGTCGTAAGTATGTTCAAGCCAGGAAGTAAGCAACAACTAAATACAAGTCGCGGAGGCGGAACAGTCGTCATGTAGCAGGCACTCGACTGAACTTCCAGGTTGGTATGTTTCGCAATGTTGTCAAGATCAACTGCCGTAGCTGTTGAAATGCTTATTAATCGTAGTATTTTCTTCAAGAACTCGAAAATCTTCTGGTAGTATCGGGATCAGATGTTAGCGCAGGTTTTTGTTGGTCAAATTACAGATGTCCCGAAGGGCTTTTCGGTATGCTGGTCGAACTAGTCATGAACTTGAAAGTAGAGGGTTCTTTTGTCTCATGATGACGTTATCTTAGAATGCTTAGGTTTGACACAGCGCTTTTAGGCGTTAAGTTAATACGAGAAGTGCATCGTAGATGGACCATGCTCTGCTAGGCCTCTCTGTAGTATACGTTTTGATTATTTATGATATAACCCTTTCTTTGGAATATGGAGCTGCATTCTGTAGGATATTCGAGCTTTTTTTTTCATGGTTTTTGTATATCTTGAGGGTTTAGGGCCAGGTTTCTTCATGGCCATTATTGGGCCCCTGGTCTAATTCAAAGAGGGACGAGTAAGACTAATCCTCTTTCGACATTCCTGGATACCCACCCACACAAATCCCAAATCAACCACTAGGGACTTATTTTGACAAAGTTCTGAACCTACATTATTAAGGTATTGGGCTTAGGTTTCCTCTGGATAGCACCCTTAGCTGAACCCGCCTCACTAAGGCGCTGATGAAGTTCGCGCAGCCAGCCTTCCTTCCATGATTCTCAGAGTAAGGCGATGGAGTCCCCTCTGCCGTACTCCAGCCCCTTAAAGGTGGATTTGTAATACATGCAATGGATGAAGTGCAGTTTGGACTAGCGGACTACAAGTCCATGTGTTGGTTCAGACTATCAGCTGATTTTTATTGTTCTGGAATCCTTAATTATACAAATCACCGTTTTTATGAGTTATTGTGTATTCACTGTGGCTTTGTGCTACCTGGAGAACATTCTGAACTGTAGCGTCCGCTGTTAGTGTATTTTCCTTGGAAGCAGAGGACGCTCACGATCGTTGTAGAGGAAACAAGATAGTTTAGTCTGGTCAAAATTCGAGTTATTTTTGCTATTTTATGTCTTTGCTATAAATTGTAGAATCAAAGTATTTCAGCAAGGTATAAGTCGAAGAATGGTGGTGCATTTATTACATTGTCGATAATGACGGCAGGATAGCCTGCCTAATATTAAATGCTTGCGATTCTATTCACTTCAATTGTTATTTCATGTTTGATGGAAGTTCTGATTGTATTGATAGACCTCTGCTTCTTTCTTTATTTGATCTGTAGCCTATTTGAAGTTGTTTGTTGTTTTTTGAAAGCTTATTTCATTGCCAATCGATGCAGGTGATTGCCTGCAGGTACGTGATCATAAATGCAAGTGAAGTGCCTGCTCATACTGGGTTGTTGCCCAATCTTGCAGCAGTAAATGTATGGGATTGACGGGAGCTAGGGACTGAATGGGCAACACTTGTGTAGGAGCGGCTGGATACTTTCAAGGCTTTACCAGTGCAATAGCGCTGGGAGGCCGAAGCTCCAGGTCAAATAGCGAAAGATCGCCTACTGCATCCAAAATAGATGACAGTGATCGCAAAGTTGAAGTAGATACCCCTGCAACTCAACAGAATCCGCCACGCCAGAACCACATCCCTTCTGTGGATACCGCTGATCAGCAGCAGTTTAAGGAGGTTATTGAAGCCATGAAGAAAGGCAGAGAAATCAAGTCCGTTTCCGGTCAAAGCTTAACTCACTCTGTTCTGCAGCGGAAAACTGAAAACCTGAGAGACTTGTACATTTTGGGAAAGAAACTTGGACAAGGCCAATTTGGCACTACCTATCTGTGCATTGAGAAGGCTACGAATAAGGAGTATGCATGCAAGTCTATAGCGAAAAGGAAGCTCATCTCCAAAGAAGATGTGGAAGATGTTCGTCGTGAGTTGCAAATTATGCATCACCTTTCGGGTCATCCAAACATTGTCATGATTAAAGGGGCATATGAAGATCCTGCTTCGGTTCATTTAGTGATGGAGCTTTGTGCAGGTGGAGAGCTTTTTGATCGCATCATTCAGAGAGGGCAGTACTCTGAGGCCAAAGCGGCGGTACTTACTCGCACAATTGTAGGTGTGGTTGAGACCTGCCATTCTCTAGGGGTGATGCACAGAGACTTGAAGCCGGAAAATTTTCTGTTCTCTAGTACAAAGGAAGATGCGGCTTTAAAGACGACTGATTTCGGGTTGTCGGTGTTTTTCAAGCCTGGAGAAGTTTTTAGGGATGTGGTAGGAAGCCCATACTATGTTGCACCCGAGGTATTGAGGAAAAATTATGGCCCTGAAGCTGATGTCTGGAGTGCTGGAGTAATTCTATACATCCTTCTTAGTGGAGTTCCTCCTTTCTGGGCAGAGACTGAGCAGGGAATTTTTGAACAGGTTTTGAAATCAGAGCTTGATTTTGCCTCAGATCCATGGCCTAAAATTTCTGATAGTGCCAAGGACCTTATTCGCAAAATGCTCAATCCTCAGGCCTCTAAAAGGCTGAAAGCTCATCAAGTACTGTGCCATCCCTGGATCTGTGAAGATGGAGTGGCACCGGACAGGCCTATTGATTCAGCAGTGCAGTCTCGGCTCAAACACTTCTCTGCGATGAACAAACTGAAAAAAATTGCAATTAGGGTCATTGCTGAATCTTTATCAGAGGAAGAAATAGCAGGTTTAAAGGAAATGTTTAAGATGATGGACACTGACAACTCGGGATCAATCAGCTATGACGAATTGAAAGCTGGACTGAAGAAAGTGGGTTCCATTCTTAAAGAGGAAGATATACGGCAGCTGATGGATGCTGCGGATGTTGATGGCAATGGAACGATTGATTACGGGGAGTTTCTAGCCGCCACCCTTCACTTGAATAAAATTGAACGTGATGAGAACATGCTTGCAGCTTTTTCGTACTTGGACAAGGACAATAGTGGCTATCTTACGATTGATGAGCTTCAACATGCTTTAGCCCAGTTCAACATGGGAGACATATCTGTGGATGAATTGCTTCATGAAGTTGATCAAAACAATGACGGTCAGATTGACTATGCTGAGTTTGTTACGATGATGCGCAAGGGAAATCCTGGTGCTGCTGGTCGATCGTCATTTCGGAACAGCCAAAGCTTGAGCTTAAATGATGTCTTGATGATGGGATAGACCATTGAAGGAGTCTTGATGAATCCTTATAAGTCAAGCTGACCATATTTCTTCGTAGCATGGTGGGCTTAAGTTCCCGCCCGTATGTTATTCCTGTTAATCCTCCATGTGCATGAGAGGAAATGATTACTGTAGACTCTAAAGCCGTGGATACGTTCCTGTTCAATCCAGCGAAGCTCTCCAGCTTTGTGGACAAATGTATTAGGCATACAATGCTGCCGGTTATGCTTATTGTTTAGACCTGTGATGGGTTTTAGATGATGCTGAGGTAGTGAAAAACTCTAGGCGTGTAGTCTGTTCCCACAGTGATATGTCTATGCGAAGAGAACATTTTCTGATGATTCAGATTGGTGATGAGATGATAACTAGTGTATATCCTCTACCAACAAGATAACGCCATCAAACACTGGTTCTTCCCAAATCCTGAAGTCAAGATTTCACAGGCTTTATGTACTGAGTTTTTGTAGTTACTAATGACATCGTCGGATTCTTCTCATCTTAAGGTTTCGCATGTTGATGTTTAGGTGAAATTGAGTGGATTACATTCACAGTAAGGGTGTTTTTATGCTTGTTAAGGAGACAAGGGAATAATAATTTAATATTGCAAATAGTTCCTCAAATGAAAATTTGAGAGATTTTTCGGTTAGTATTTTAGGTGTTGTATTTGGCAATATTTTAGTGATGGATTCAGTTGCCTCTGAACATTGATAACAATTGTCCATGTTGGTTCGTATCAGTGTATGAGAATGACTTTTAATATCAAATATCTCAAAAATAGTGGATCATCCTATTGGAGTAATATGTAGAAGCAAATCATTATGTTGATTAAATATTAAACTTGAAGAAATTAAGAAATTGATCAAATTTATATTTGTAACTTATTTTGTTAAAAGGATGTATATTTATAGAATTGTTAATGCTACATCTCTAATTGATATTGTTACAACTTACATGACCTTCACACAACTTAAATTGACTAAAAAGTGTGCTTCTATACTTAGTGCATGTTTGGCAGTCTAATATTTAACTCCAAAATGTACCCAAAATTAGAATAAATTAAAAAAAAATATTGTATTTTTGATAGCCAAATAGTAAAATAGAATTTTGATTTAAAACAATATTTGATGCAAGTATCATTTTTTTTAAAAAATAGCTTGCAACTTATTTTTTCATAAAATATTTATTGTCTCTCTTTCAACCAACATTCTTTCTTAAAGCAACGAAAGGGAAAAATGTGAAAAAAAGAGAGACATATGATTAGATGGTTGTCTTTGAGAAAGTCATGTAAGGTGTAGCAATATCAATTAGAGATGTAGCATTAATAATTCTCTATAGTTAATTACTAAAGTAATAGGTGTATATATCTTTCACCAATTTGTATAAACTATACCTAATGTCAACTTTATCTTTGATTTGTTTTTTTCTTACCGTGAGTCTTCTAAATTGCCTCTTTAAAAATATTAATACTAAAAATAAATAAAATAATATTCTAAAAATATTGAATCTTTCAAATGACATTTAATTATACTTAGTTTTGGCTATTTATAAAAAATTATGTTTTACCTTTTTTCAACATTATTGGTGATTTTGACCTAATTGAATTGAAATTAATTTAATTAGATAATTAAAAATATAACATAAAATATTTTACTTTGATAGAAAAAATATTACCACATTTATTTATTGTACAAATGTCTAAAAAATATATATAATCAACTCACATACTTAGATTAAAAAAAAAAAATCTAATGATCAATTAAAAATCATGTTAAAATCATCAATTGATATTGTAAACAAATTCTAATAAACAATAACTGGTATTATTGATAGTATTAAAAATCTTCAGAACCACATGTAGTTTATGATATTCTAGACTCTTTTTCGGATAATATTATGAAGTCTGTAGAATAGTAAAATATTTTAAAGTATTTCAGGATGAATTTTGCTTAGATATTAAGATATGAAAAAGACTAATTATGCATTATTTTATCTTTATGTCTTTTTAAGTAAGATCCTATTTTATTTTTATATAAGACTCTTTTTTATTGTATTTATTATATATATATATATATATATATATATTATTAATATCTAAAATGATCTATTATAAAATCTTTAATAGTTAAATATGGATATCAATTACTACTTTATTTAAAAGAATCTAAAATACATTTTTGATTACTAGTGAATTTATTTACAAATTACTATTGTAAAGACCACTAATATGTATATAATTACACAATTATACATACTATTATATATAATATTATTTATATACATGATCTCTACATATTATCACATATAATATTATAGTATGAATTCCAAAGAATAATAAATTTTTAGATTTTAATTCTATTATTTTAGATATTGGTCTCTTATAGTTTACTTTTAATTTTATAGTCTATAAGCCAAAGTTTATTTCTTTTAGAATTTTTTTTATTTAATTATAATTTATTAAGAGATATTTTGTTGAATTCCTATATAAAAAATATCTAATATTATAAGTCAATATACACCACTAATTTATTTTTTACTTTAAAAAAAATATGTTATTTAAAAAAATCCTTTTCAAATATTTAAAAGTTATTGATAAACAATATTTAGCATCAAAAAGTACTTTTAAAGTTACAAATTAATATATGTTGTAATATCTTTAATATTATGAAATATTCTTCAAATATAAAATATAACTTTTAAAACTTTTTGATTGAAGTTGAATAATTTATACTTAAAATAGTTGATATAAGTATTTTTTTTTAAAATTATATAAAAAAATAAGAAGTAAGTAAAAATAGAACTTTCAATATATATAAGAGAATGTTGAAGTGACCCATGTTTTTATTAAATCGATCCATCTTAATCCCTCTCATTCTCAGTTTTCATCCCATTCTCCATTGTTTTCAAATTTCATCCTAATTCCTCCATTTTTAATTTTCATTGGGGTGATATATTGATGCAGGGGGCTACATGCATGGTATAGTGTTTGTTGGACAAATAGATGCTACAATGAGGATTAACAACTCCCTCCATTGAATAGTAGTGATGACATTACTTGGCATGAATTTAACCATAAAATTGTTAATCTCTTGTAAAAACCTCTAATTCTATTTAATCTATATACCATGTATTTATGTACGTGCTAACTACACAAGGTTCTAAATCATGCATTTAGATTTTTTGTAGTGTACATGCATATGTTGTGCCATTGAAAAATAAATCTAATTAAAACTATAATAAAAAACATACATCTTTGATAGTGCACCCACCAAAATCAATAATTTACAAATCAATCTAAAATCTAGGTCTGCATGTTCTTCACATTAATAATACATATCTCTTGCTTGCAGACATGTAATATTAACACCTTTGTATAGATTCTAATACCTCAAAAATCCAAACATTATGATAAATTACTCTTCTATACAATTTAGTTATATCTTCTAAAAGTCGAATATTACTATTATTAGTCCCTCAATCCTCCTAATAAAAAAACCAATTACTACTCCAATTACGAATTCAATCGACTCTCTTTTCCAATCTTTTACAAAAAAAAAAAAAAAAAAAAAAAAAAATCTTATATGTCTTATTCCATTTATAATTCAACCAATAAAACTTTGGAAAGGATTCATACAAAAAACAAAATCTCAATAGCATCTCATAATGAAAAAGAGAAATAGCAAATGAAACACAAAAAAAAAAAAAAATAGAGACACAAATAAAAAGATACAAAGATATAAAAGCAAATTAAAGGCTATGAAAAGGACTAAGAGAAAGAAGATAGGGTGGTATCCAATGAGTGATCTTATGATAATATAATACAAATTTTGAAGATATATGATTTAGTATAGTGCTTGTGAAGGCATATATTAAACAGATTGTGCTTGAGGACTTTTGAAATAAGGTTGCATCATCATTTGATATTGCTACATCAATGCTAGTACATGCTTCTTGCTTCCATGGCTTTAGGTTGAATTTTATTCTATTAATACACCTCTTATTTTGGATCAGCTGTTGTTATAGTTCTTAACTTCTTGGATAGAAAAACAAGCTTGAAACACATAAAAGAGTCATGGAAATATTAGACTTTATTGCAAAGTTTTAAATTGGATGGTTTAGAGAAGAATTTTGCTACTAGGAGGTTTATTTAGATAAAAAAATATGGATGGGGCTAAAAATAGTTGGATTCTTTGAATTAATCGATTCATAGTTGATTGACTATACCATACAACTTGAAAATGGAATTGATAAAGGTTTGAAATCAATGTTACAATCAAATATATTTATCATGACGACTATAAAGGTTGATCAATCTATGTTGATAAATCCAATTAATTTCATTAAGAATAGTAGTAAGGAATTGAAGTACCTTCATGAAAGATATCTAGAATTTCTATTGATGAAACATTCAAATATTAAAAAATTATCTCTTATTAATGCACTGATTCATTACAAAGAGCTTGTACAAACATCTAAGAAATTTGGTTTGTACAATCTTAGTATATGATTTCATCCACATAGGGTGCTTAGAATAGGTCATGGTTTTATAATTTGATTCATGATAAGCAATGTTCTCACTACTATCCAATAGAGATAATTATTGATCTACATTGCAGCCACTATTTGCCTAATAAATGATACACCATAATTGTAGCCCTCCCTCTATATCAATATATTATTGCATCACTGCAATATAAATTAGAAACAAGAGGATTATGATGAAAATTGAAAATGGAAGAAAATGAGATAAAAATTAAAAACATGGAGATGATGATGAGAACTAGAAATGCAGAGAAATAAGATGAAAACTGAAAATAGAAAAATCAAGATGAAAATTGAAAACATAGAATAAGAGAAGAGAATAAAAAATGGAATAAAAATTAGAAATCGAGGAATCAAGATGAGTTGATTTAACAAAACCTTAGATCATTTTAATATATATATATATATATATATATATATATAAGGCATCTTGGATATTAGATAAAAAATAAATAAGTTTTTTCATTAATTATTGAAAAAGAAATTATGGAAACTTAAAGAACTCACTATTATAATGTAACATGACTAATAAGTAAAAGAGTAAAGAAAATATTATATTATAGAAGAGCTTATTTCAAAATATTATAAAAATTATCTTAGAAATATAGATAATAGTCAAAGGATAGTAAAATTAAAATATTAACAATATCTTTTTATAAATTGAGCTTCTATTTATTTTGTAGGATCATAATTAAGGCAAAATAAGATAAAATAGAAAAACAAAGAATATAGCCATATATACAAAAAAAATAGGAATTGATTTTAGCAAAAATTTCCTAAAGAAACCAAAAATTGATACTTAGTGAGGACCAGTTGTCAACTTGGATCAAAATCAGATCCTAAGGGATAAAACTATGTTTCAACGATGATTCTAAGAATTTTTTTTTACAAATTAGAAAAAGAGATTTGAAAAAAAACTTTATAAGGTTTCTTAGAGCATTATTTTTAAGCAAATTG